GAAAAATATCCATATTCAAAACATAATAATCACTTTAATATAGCTTGCGCCAACAGTTGTACACGGAAGCAGTTCCTGGCTGATGACGTATGAGGTCGGCGTTGCGCATGCGCCGGTCAGAAGTGACGAACGCGGAACGCAGCGGAGAGATCAAAACAAAACAACGGTCACTAATTAGAAGTACAAAACGAGGATATGTAAAGAAGAATGTCGGAGGATTTCGATATAAGCCAAGAGGAGACTGGTTTTCCTTTGCTAAAGTAAGGAAACTTTGCTTCCTTTGCTCCTGTTAACAAACGTTGGTTTTCACGAGACTCACAGGCGCATTCGTAGCACTGACCTCATACGTCATTCCCCCGGAACTGCTTCCAGTATACAACAGTGAGCGCAAGCTACATTAAAGTGATTATTACGTTTTGAATATGGATATTTTTCTTACAAAAACGCATCGATTCGCTACAGAAGGCCTTTGTTCACCCCCCGGAGCTGTGTGAGACACTTTTTTTTTTTTATGGCTGGGCACATTTTATGCTTTTATGCATTTTATGCTGCTTTTGGACGGATGCATGCAACACCCGTTGAGTGGCATGAAAGATCAAAGACCATTTTTAATTTTTGGATTCGTCTGAAAGAAGAAAGTCATATACACCTAGGATGACTTGAGGGTGAGTAATTTATGGGCTAATTTTCATTTTTGGGTGAACTAACCATTTAACCTAAGTTCATACACTGCTCAACTGCTCAGCCATTCAGTGGCACAAAAATAATTTGTCTTCCAATACAAATGTCTAGGTTCAAATCAAAACAAAAAGTTTCCTTTATATAAAGCAAATCAAAAGACTTGTCTCCCCAAAAATGTCATCACTTTTGTGAAAGACCAGTTGGAGTGGTGTGCAACAACAGGTCTTTCATACAACAAACCCCAACACAGGTGTGGGTTCAAAACCCCCATGGTAACAAGCTTTCTTTTCAATCTAACCTAAGTTCATACAGTATACAAGTACAAGTAACTATTCGGCAATTCAGTAGCGCAAAGGATAATTGTTTCCCAACAAAAGTACTGGTTCAAATCCAGCAACTTTTAAACTCATAATAAACATCATATCCAACAAAGCTGCCAAAAACACAACACTCAGCATGAAAGATAATGGTGCTATAGTGAACACACGTTAGTTGCGGATAAAGCTGAAACACAGACAATGGTCACCCAACAGAAAGACTTGGTTGAAACCCGAAAATTCTGCATACACAAACATTCATTTTGTATATAAAAATAAATACATAAATAAATAATACAATGTAAAGGTAAATATATACATACATACATACATACATACATACATATATATATATAATTAAATAATACAATAAAAATCTGATTTAGTTAAAAAATTAAATAATAAAAACAAAAAATAATAATACATAAATGGTATACACTATATATGTGTGTGTGATAAAAAATTATAATGAAATTGAAAATAATAAAATAAAATAATACAACATTTTGTAATAGTATTTAGCGATTTATACATATAATAAATAAGTAAATAAAATTAGTTTTTAAAGTTTGTGTCCAAGTAAATGTTTAGAATGGTAAAGCTAAGATTTCCCAGGTAATTGCCTATTCCTTCATCATAAACAACTGCAGATTTCCTGGACATGGATTAATCCTTGACTTACACTGTATAGAGGGTTATCATTACAAGCAAAGTGTGAGGCATTCCAGCTCTACAAACTCCTTTTAGTATTTTGTTAAAACACATGGACAAGTGTGGAACATCGTAAGACCTGCTTGACTGTACATACTTAAATCTGTAAAAGACATGTAAATGACATCTACTTGATGTCAATGCACAGCAGCATCAGAGCTTCCCACAACACTAGCTGAATCCATTAGCAAAACATGAATACAATACAGTGAATACAGACTATTACTTACAATGACACCACAAAAAAAACAAAATCGCAAAAAGTTCTTAATGGGACAAAGTCTATGATAAACCTTCAAAAAAAATCTACATTGCATTCATATGGCTAATTGTCAAAAATAACAGACTTTATCAGCACACAGTGTTGTTTCATTCCTGAATGATTCAGTGTTGTGAACGAAGCGGCTGAATGAATAATGTCTCGCTTGACGGCTCCTATTGACGTAACGATATAAACAGCAGAAAGAGTCTCTGAAAACGCGCAAACACAGATAATCAGAGTGATACAAACAATGACAACTCAATAGAAAGACGTGTTTTCCTGACATTATTTCGCGGATACTATTGGATATATGCCGTATTTTAATCTCATCACTTGCAACTTGAACTGCAAATTTGTTGTGGCATGCGTCTGCCGCAGAGGTGCGCCCGCGTTAACAGCAGCGCAGGAAACACTGCCATAGAGCAAAAATATCGATCTTCGGATTTTAAAGAATAGCTAAGGACAAAACGCAGTCGTTTTAAAGACATTGTATCGTATAAATAGACATTTTAACCAGCCTTACTGCTTCATAATGCATGCAAGTGGCCAAGCTTTAAGCGGAAACGTACTTACAGGTGAGTCGCTTGACGCTGTTGCACTTTAGCGCAGTGTATTGGTCAGACTGTCGTTTGTTTACTTGTGTTAATGACAGGCTGTTCTAGGCGTTGTTAGGGTCTTCTTGTTGGTAACTAGACGTTCCTAGGTAGAATTATGAACCGATAGCCAGTTTCATTATAAATGACAAATGTTACAGCCGATAAACATACAGTACAAAGCAGCCAGAGTAATACGACTGATACTTTTAATGAATCAAAAATATACACCGCAACCAATGTAGTCCGATTCCCGAACGAATGATTCAAATGATTCTTAGTGAGTGAAACACTAAGCTTGCAAATCGTATTTGCTGACTGGTTGTTCATATGACAGCGTGGAGTTAAAGATACCCGTCAAGTTTGGGTAGGTAATATATATTTATTTAAATCAATACTTACAGTAGGCCTAAAGATTTTCATTAAAGATGTAACAAAAGATTTCTATTTAAAATAAATGCTGTTCTTTTGATCTTTCTATTCATCAAATAATCCTATCAGTTTTCACAAAAAATGTTAAGCCTTTTTCTACATTAGATAATAGAAGTCAAAGGTTTCTATTCACAATATGTTCTTGCAGCGTTAAGTACTGTAGCCAGTCACAGGCATGTCTGTTGGGAGCGCTTTTCTGCACACAATCCATTCACAATTTGAAGAAAAGCTTGTTTGTCATGTTTCTGAGATCTCCATGTCCAACATCCACCTATAATGCAAAGTCTCAGGAGTGACAAACGCATTTAATCAGGGGAGTGAATCTGCTAAATAGTTGTGTGAGTTACTCCTGAAATTACTATGATTGACAGTGATGATCCTATAGCAACGGATGGGACAAAGCACCTGACAAGCCAATGTCAAAAGAGACCTGTGCATAAAGTGTTGGAGTGTAAAAATGGCTAATAGACCCACAACAGGTAACAGACAAGAATAAGAAAACCGTGTGTGCAAATAAATCATTCATAAATAAACGTGCCTGGTGTATCATATGTGACACTGCCATTTTAACATGTTTTTCTAAAAAATATATGTATGGATAATCAAGTAAATATTCAGTCCAGTAAATGTTCATCTTGAAACAATAATAATAACGAATATGATACAGTAGGTTTTATAGGGTTAATATATAGTTGAGACAAATTAATGGATTGCATGCTGCTGACTCTAAAAGGAAATAAAGTCTATGTAAACACCATTAGCAATAATTACTTAGCAGTGATGAAATTGTTTGATTACATTCTGCAGTGCTCATTTAGTCACCACAAAGAATATCAGGGGCACATTTTAGCATGCAAAATCAGCATTGCACTTCAGATACATCTACAGCAATGTGTTTACATATATCAGAAAATATATGATGGTTGCTGTTTTTCATGAGTGCTAATTGATCAAATTAGCAGCACATCTTTTAGGCAGTATGGCCTTCTGCCCAGAAAAACCCAATTACTGACAGGTTCAAATATCACTATACAAAGTGACCCTTTCTGGTTAGTCTTCTATTGTTATTTCTGGCTGGAAAACAGAGCATTGCAGCTGTTTCTGAGATGAGATCCATATGTTTTCAATTAATTAAAAACCTCAGAAAGCAAATTTGTTGTCACTGGAAACTCACTGCCTGTGAGAATATGCCAGTGAAAAGTTTAATAATTAAAAAATTAAGCAAGTTAATTTTCCTGAATGAATCCGTGTTTTTGAATGACTCATTATGTAAAGGATTCAGTGAGTCAATCTTGAAGGCACTGCTGTTGCTAAATCAATCAGTGTTTTTGAATGAATTGGTTGACTCAGTGATTCGTTCCTGAATTAATCAATGTTTTTAAATGATTGGACTGGTTGAATGATGTCGTGATTCACTCATAAAGACTGATAAAGTCACTTTAATGCCACCTACTGGTGTAATAACGTACCTGTAGAAAAAGTAATTGAAACATCCTCGCCACTAATGCCCAGACTGAGATTAGTGACATTAGCCAATCAAATTTGAGGATAAAAACTAACTGATGTATAATAATGTATAAATTCAAATTATCATTAAATGCAGATCCTTAGATGATTAATAACAACTCGTATATCATATGTAAACACATGAAATGTAATGCAATTATGTCAATAATTATTACTGATTATAGCGTTAAAGGTAATTTTTAGGGCAGTTTTATTAAGGCAATATAAACAACATTGCTTGTAATTTAGGATTAGGGATTAATTCAAACATGACAAATATCTTTTAAAGGGTGGGTACAATGCTGTTTCATACATTGAGTTGTTTACACTGTTAAAGAGTTGGATTCTCATGCTAAGCATGGACAAAGTTTCAAAAAACAATTTGGACGTATGACGGAGTATTTCTGTGCCAAAAATCTTACTTCCGGGTTCGTACAAGTTTCGGAGAGTTTTTTTCGATCGTGGCTCTTCATGACGTAGACGAGGGTGAAACTCCTTATATGGGCATTTCTCCCGGAAGAACGCGCTCGCGCTCGCGCACGCATCGACCAGAGTGAGAGCAAGATCGAGATCGCGCCCATCAACGCGCTTCATCCAGCGGCAGCGCTGCACGGGACTTGCTCGGGAAGAATGTCTCCAATCCAAAGAAGTGTGTTTTTGGTTGTAAGGGAAAGATAACCTTGTTCAGCTTCCTAAAGAACCCAAGGATATGAAGGATGCAGTACTACTCTATAGGTACTCAAGATTAGCATAAGATTGGGTGAAACTGTGTGTGTTATGCCCCCTTTAACAGAAATACATTATATGAAAAGTTTTGCAAGTGATGACACCCAGAATACACTAATATTGTGCCAGCACATTTTGCATAGGCAAAAGCCACTTATATTTCCTCAGAAAATGTAAATGGACATTGTATGTAAGGTACCACTGAAGATTATTTCTGACCCAGGAGAACTATAGGCTCTATAGGTGTGTTAAAGTGGGAGACTTGATAAAGCAAATGTCATTGGAGGTCATGAGTGATGTGTCTACTTTATACCTATCCTCTGCTTTTGGGGAAAGAATATGTGCAGCCTTTCATTCTAGCTTCTCCCTTATATTCCTGATCTATTGTCATCTTACTCCTCCTCTCTCACAAAAATTGAGAACCCAGGCACTGGCAACGAAGCAGCGCTTCCTTTAAACTTCTACAGTCTCTCTATAAGCAGACAAATCAGTTTCACCTGTCTCTACTCTCACTGCACAAAAACTGGGTCAGAAATTTGAACATCTGCTTCATGTCTTCATATAGACCTTATATAGCCCCACCCCTTTTCAGCACTGCACCTGTTTTCTACTTTTGTTAACTCTACAATAAGTAAATTCACTTCACCAGCTAATGACTCTTCAACAGCAATGTTATAGTGCTACCGCAAAAAACGGACGTTCAAAGACAAAATTCTAAAGATAGCTGCGTACTTGTTTCTCTGACGCATAAGGTCTATAGAAATTAAAAGATGACATTTTCACCTGCCTTTAATTCACCCAAAGTTCAGAATTTTGGTCTTATCAGTGGCGAGTGGTGACTTCTTTAATTGGGCATGCTATCTAGTAATTTATCAGAGATGACAAATAAGAAACACCATGGCAGGTTTCGATTTAAAAGTAGATTGCCAGGAATAGAATTTGACAAGACATTTGACTTTAAAAGGGGGTGATTCTTTTCTATACCCACTGTATACACACACACAAGATGTTTCAAGTACAAATGCAACAATAAAAATCCTCAGAAAATTTCACTTTGATTAGTTTGCTCAATTATGTTGTCAAATAATGTGTACCTTCAAAATATTATGTCAAAGCCAGAAAACAGTTTTCAGTGGACTTTCAAATTTGCTTTGCTTGAGAAAACATGAAGATATAGTTACTTTTTTATTTGATTTGGTCAAGTTAGTTTTGCATCAAATTACAATGTGATTTTCGATAATTAAGATAACAGCACATTTTTACACTTGGGTGAGCAATTCACAGACAGCTTTTCTTGCACATGTAATCTAACACATGCCAACAAACCAGTGAGAACACAAAACCAACCACAATTCATAGCAATTGAGCATAGCTGCCAAAGCTGGATCCACTCAGCCCAATCCCTTCATAACTGGCACAGAATCGCAGAATTTATAGACAGTTACATATTCCCATGTGTTATTATATTACACCTCAAATGACAAGGGAATTTAAGTTAATATTTAGCCAGTCCCCAAACTCATTCTCTAAAATATATCACTTATTTCATTGAATGAATCAGTGTAAAATTTTGCTCAGTAGTGTAGAATTCAAGCTGAGTTCACTGAAACTGAAAGACTGCCTCTCTAATCTTTCACTGGCACACTAAGCAATATGTGTATGTCTGCCAGCATACTGACACAACACATACCAAAGGCAAGAAAAAACAAAGAGCTCTCAGCAGCTTGGAACATATCACACATCTAAACATATCCATGACTGTCAGAAAACGCTATAAACACTTTTGTCATTACCACAGGCACAGAAGAGGGGAAAGCCATCACTTTCAGCTACAGTTTGAATGGAAAGCCTAACAATATATGAACACATCAGCTCAGTCTAGCCTTGCTGCACAACAGGATGCTGCAGTCTCAGAAAACACAGGTGCTATCTCAGGGCAGAAAACCTCAGGCAGTCTGACATGTATTCTTATCAGATTTCCCACAATCCTTTGGGCACATGGAGGAATGTTAGGAGACAGAATGGAATGGAGAAATCCAAATGCCTGAGGAAGTGAGATAATTGTGTATCATACTTAACATCCACAGTAGCAGCCTGGTCAAACAAACCAAATCAAAATACTGACCGATCCAATGTAGAGTTAAAGCAAGCAAACAGACCTCAAAAACCTTAGTGTACTGTATGAGAGTGGCAGACACCTGAGTTCCTACAAGTACAATATGAAGTAACATCTGTGTTTATGTCTTCCCCTGCAGAATATGGCATGTGTTTGGACAGTTATACCCAGCCAACAGAAACAGAGCTCTGGAACATGTGGAGAGACATTGACTTTAATGATGGACATCTGCTCATGCACAGGTAATGCTTATAACATTTCAGTGTGTTGTTGGCTTTTGAATGTGTCGGTTACTATCATTTTCTTTCTCAAGGAGCACTCCTTTGGAAAGCAAATGATGGTAACCTAAGTAGGTGGGGAAGGGACAGGGAATTAAATTTTTTATAGCAAATTTTTTTTTTTTAGGCCAGAATCATAACCCCTTCTGGACATCATGCTGGGGCTCAGGGGGGGACCCCATGAGCCCCCACTCCACACCATTCATTCATATAACGGAGATCTGGCTGGACTCGAACCAGCAACCTCTGAACCATGAGGCAGTGCTCTTACCTCTGAGCCACAGATCTCTTGTCTGAACATGAGCAGGAACTATTTACATGTATGTGATTTGGGATTTTACAATAAACCAATTGAAGTTAACACTGAGCTAGGGTTTGAACCCATGACTCCATCGCAAACCATGCATTTAGGGCACTTTGTTGGATATAATGACAACCTATGCAAGAATGGGATTTGAACCCATAATTCCATTGCAACCTTGTCCGCAACTAACGTGTGTTCAGCCACTGTACCATTGTGGCTTTCACACTGAAGAATGGCATTTAGGACACTTGACTGAATATAATGACAACAATTTAAAGTAACACCATGTAACTTTTACACTGTACCATGTACAGTGTCGTAAATACTGTCGCTGTATAAGCTTGCCCGTGGGCAGCGCAATAAACGTGAATTTGTTGACTAAGCTGACGGAATCATTCTACAAATATCATTACATATTTTTATTTATTGTTACTCCAGAATTGAAAACTACAATGACAAAAAGAACGGTAGTATGTTTGCCTAGTTTTTTTTTGCTCGCATAGTTCATATGAAGCATTGTTTGCAAAGGGTGTAATTTGTATAATAGAATAAAATGCTGTCCGCATAATCATGTAGCCATAATGTCCATAATAGCCTATACATTGGACACTGCTCTGCCATAGCGTTGGTTTTGAGACTTGCATATTAGATCGTTTCGTCTTATAGTTAGCTGTTGGCTAACTCCAACCAGGCTACAAGTAAAATATGTGACGTATGCCATAAAGCAGGTCGCACTCTTCCGCTGGCAGGGGATGGGCGGGTCTGTGTGTACCTACCCTAACATGAAACTTACAGAGTGTGGTTCTAGCGGCTAGGAGGCTGCTCAGGTAGCAGCGGCAGTAGAATTCGTCCGGTTAAGAGGTGTTCTACCACTGAAATTATTTTAGAGACATTATTTTAAAGTCGAAAAACTACGTAGTGTTGCTTTAATATATGCAAGAGTCAGATTTGAACCCATAACCAACCTTGTCTGCAACTAACGTATGTTTAAGCCACTGCGCCATCATGGCTTTCATAATGGCATTTAGAACACTTTATTAGATATACTGTCAACAATTTAATATTTGCAAGAGTGGGATTTGAACACATAATCCTAACATGTGCTTAAACCACTGCAGCATTCACATTGAAAGTTGGCATTGGGCGCATTGTATGAAATAATGGCAATTCAATGTAGGCAATAGCGGGATTGGAACTCAGGACTCCATGTTTAAAACACAACACTTTATCTCCTGAGCTACTGAGTCTTTGTAGTTTAATGAGTGTTATAGATGGTTTTATTGACAACTCTGTTTTATATGATAAAAAAAATACAAATTGTGGGATTTACACAAATCCCAAAGTTATCTTCCTTACCAAAAAGGCAAAAGAAGACAAGAGTAAATTATTTTTATATTTAATATTTGAGTGAAGTATTCCTCTATAAAGCAGATGTGCATTATACACACTGCACAATATTTAAAAAGTATTTTGTCTTTTTTTTTATTAAAAAAACTTTTTTAAATTTTTTTAATTAATAAAAAAACTAAATATTCTTAAATCAAGTTAAATTTACTTGAGAAAATGACAAGCTATACAGTCTTTTTTTTTTTTTTTTAAATATTCATCAAAACTCATTTTCCCTCTGAATTAAATTTTTCTCAACATATTGACAGGTTTTCTTGTGTTAAATATAAGCTTACGTTTAATGCATTTATTAGAAAACATGGTATTTGTACTGTAAAACAAGTAAAAAAATACTGAGTAAGAAAATCATTTTTTTTGCATTGTAGGTGGTTGTCACTCTATGCTAGACATGCACTGTACCATATCTGACTCTAGGTTCAGGGTGAATAAGACATGTTATGTTCACTATAGTGAGTCGAAGCTGTTATTGTATATTCTAGGAGGCGTCCATCTGTTGCTTGGCGAGTCATGAGTCACGGGCCCAGAGTCAAGACCCCATATGGATGTTTCTAGGGGTTTGAAGCAGAAGGTGGGAGATGGAAATGTCTGTGCAACTCAAAGCCTTGGACCAGAGAGGTGATGGTCAGCACTCAGATTACAGACTGTGACCTCTGGGTGGTTGACAGCTGACTTTGAGAGGAAAAAAGGTCACTGCTGATGTCTAGCAGAACCAGACCTATAGCAAAACCCAATGAAACTTGAAAAAAAAAAGTTCCAACAGGTAAGATTTCAAAGGTTCAACTTACTATAACCATAACATTCATAACATACATAGGCCCTAATGCAGAATTCAAGGTTGAATTAACGATTATGTGCTCTTCATTAAATAGCTGTCTGTATTTTCTTTTACTGAAGCCTCTTTGCAGACGAACGTGTTTATTCAACATGTTCCAATTTGGCAGAAATCCATTCCACCGTTTTGCTTTTGAAAAATGAGAGCAGGACTCGAAAACCCTGAATGCTAAAGTGTTCTTCAGAGCACCTGCATGCTCGAATGGGCTTCAGATGGCAATTAGGAAATGGCCTGTGAAATGACTTGATAACAGCAGACTCCAGAGATGGTGGAGTCCAATTCGTTTAAAGCCGAGTATTTGTGGCCGCTGGGGCTTGGGGGCAGAGGCTTTCCGATAGTACATTTAAATTATGTCTTGACCACAGCAGCCTGAAGTCAACCTTGAAAAACATCATTCAGCTGATGCAAAGTCAGAGAAACTCAAAAGCCCTCTAATAATACAGCAGCATCCGAGTGAACACAGAATAAACTCTCCCTTCATTCAGTCATTCACAACCACAAATAAATAAATAACCATCCACCAGTTGACCAAAAGTTGTTATTGTTATTGTCAACATGCTGGTGGAGTTTTTTTCTATTAAACTGAAATGACTCGGTTTAAGAGAAAAAATATATAATTTGCCTATGCATATGTTGATTGGTTCTTATGCACTAATTTTGAGTTCTGCTTAGCCTGATTTTAATGGTGGTTAGAGTTTTTCCCCAGTGATTTCCCAGTGTTGTTATTGTTAACTACAATTAAAATTATAAACTTGTTTAAAAGTATAAACTTCCACAAAAAATAAAAACTAAAAATAAATAGGTCTTTAATTCATATAAAATTCAAAATCTTCAGGAGGTGCAGTTTCACCTGCTCATCTTGAGTGGCACCATGACCTTTTGTTTGTCACAAATTTGCAAAAAAAAGAGACAAATATATAAGAAATATTTATAGCTGGTATATTTTCTCAATTCACCCACCACTGGCAGATGTCATACAGTGAGAATAGTAAGTCAATTCGGTCTAATGGGACTGTTTCCCCCTCACCCATGTATGCCACATTGTCAACTGCACCTGTCAGACTGAATTGAAAGCTGTTGATCATTATTTGTGTAATATTCAGCAGCTAAAATAGAATACATTTTGATAAAATAACACTAGAGAATAAATAGCTGAGGCTAGGACCACTAAGACTTTGAAAAATATTGCATGACCACAGTTGTATTTCTTAAAAACAGGATTTCTCTTTTTTTTTTTTTTAGAAATAAATTATAAAATTAAATCCTCTTGTCACAGCCTTTATTCTAATTAATGACATCTATTCCACTCAACCAAGAAAGAAAAAATCCATCTCGCATTAAACTCCTATTCCTCTGACAAGCCCCTCATCAATGCAAATGAAGATGCTGTAATGTGGTATCAAAACAAAGACTGAATGGACATGGAGATAAGCTAATTGGTCTCCTAACAGAGCACATTCTGCGGCCCATCACATAATTGTATTGCTGTATGACTGAAGCACTTCTCGTCATGGAAACGGGAGATATTTACATTCTGACAATTGAGATCAGTGTTGAACCGCTCACCGGCCTAATTAGTGGGACAGCCAATGACATCACATGCTACTAAATTGATTAACAAGGAAACTGAAGGAGACCTTGACTGGTACATGAGAAGACAATGTTACAATCAATAACAGCAAAGATATCTTTCTTTCTTTGCTCTATATTTTATGTATTTATAGCATTTTATATTTTCTTCCATCTTTTAAGCAGCTACAGTATCATTGTCAATTTTAAAGGGATTATATTGTTGTGTGATATTATTCCTTGAAAATCACACCCTTCTATTGTCCCCCTTGCTCACACCCCGTAGCTAATATTATTTTTCTTGCTATCATATTTTCCATTTATTTGCAAAACTATTCATGGACCACTGAACATAACATTATCAGAACCACACAAACATTTACTCACTGAGATTTTCAATTTGTAAATGATACAAGAAAAATACACAAGCATGATTGCATGACACTGAAGACTGATTTCATACATCTACAATGAGTAATTGTTTTAATATAATGGGAAAAGTCCCACAGCAAGAATAGCATATAATCACAATAAAGTATTAGGAATCTTTAAACTATATATTTTAAGTAATATAAAATAAATGTATTTTAATATATAAAATTAATAGAAGCAAGATGAAAAGAGAAGTGTATATTTTTATTTTTTTCTATTTTAAAAAATTGCCTACATTTTTCAACAAGTATGGTTTCTTATTCTTACGTCTCTCTCAATTATCTTTTTTTAATGAGCCCTGTGTCTCTGCAGGCCCATTCCAATGTAATGAATGCAAAAGCATTATCCAGCTAGGTTAATGACCCACAAACCTGCCTCGCTTAAACGATTTGGAACTGAGCTATTGTGGCCCTCAACAGCCACGTTGACAAATTGTCCCATACCCATATACACACATATTCCACATCACACACATTGTACACACTAGTGTGTGTACACAAAGGCCTGTGCACTAGAACACAATCCATAAACTGTATACCGAAACTGAATTGAATCTCAGAGTAGATGTGGGATGAGAGGGAATTATTGGAAGCGTCTATAACATCAGGGTTATTGCTTGTTATGAGAATGTTTTCAATGGGAACAGAGACCATTTTAGAGAAACACAAAGCTAAAATGTTGCTCATAAACTTTCACCAATTTAAAAGAGGATGACAAATGCCATTTTAATAAAAAAATATATATAGTCCAAGTAGGATCTGAAAGCCTTTAAAGGGGTCATATGATGCGATTTCAAGTTTTCCTTTCTCTTTGGAGTGTTACAAGCTGTTTGTGAATAGATAAGATCCCTAAAGTTGCAAAGACTAAAGTCTCAAACCCAAAGAGATATTCTTTATAAAAGTTAAGACTTGTCCACGCCCTCCTAAAACGCCTCATTTAAACACGCCCCCACATGTCTACGTCACTGACAACGCACTGGATAGCTGGCCAATCAGAGCACACCTCGCTTTTCAGACCGATGAGCTTTGTAAAAATCGACGCGTTTCAGAAAGGCGGGGCATAGAGGAGAAACAATAATGTACAGTATGTGGAAAATAATGTGTTTTTTTAACCTTAAACTGCATAAACACATTTCATTACACCAAATACACAAAATAATGTTCTTTTTTAGCAACGTCATATGACCCCTTTAAATGTGAACTTTTGGAACCCATGGTATCATTTTCTCGATACAAAGAGGGAAATGCATTTCTTTTCTACAAGACAATCTTTCTTGAGATCCTATATTCATGAAGGGGCCATTTTAATATCCTGTTTTTATGGAGAAAGAATATCTGGCCTTCATCCAAACTGTTTGATTCTTTCCTTTTACAGCTTCACATCTTTAAAAAACAGGATCTTACAGTAAAACAAATTTCAAATCAGGCAATCAATAAAAGCTCGCATCAAACAACAGACTGTAAGCTTTGGGGGGAAAAATAATATATGGGTATTACAATGCTTACCGTCTAGCAGATAATAAAGAAAAAATGTTGCGTTTAAACAAAAGATTTGACAATCTGCTGGGGTGGGCAGAATGAGGGAGCTTATAAGATTGATCTTGATACTTCTTTTCCCATCTACTCTGAGATGAATCATAATTGCCTAAAAGACTTAATCATGTGTAGAATCATAGAAAAAGAAAAGATGACAAAGACGTAGAGGGGAAAAAAGATGAGAGATGGCGTGACAGAAGGAAAATGCTTTCTGGTGATTGAGCATTGATCGCTATGGGAGGCAACCTATTGCTTTTCACTGTTTCTACCCCACATCAGGATACTAAATCGAAAGTGTTGACAGTGTCAGAGCATGGTGATATTCTCAATGGATGAGCAATGAGCAGGCCATCGAACTAATGCACTGAACCTCACCAACCCCCACGTCACTTTACTACACAGGTTCAAGACGATAATTCTGTCTAGACTCTAGACCAGTTAGCATCTCCTTGAAGTATTTTAGTCGATGATGAAAAGCAAATAGTGATGACACAAAAAGTGAATAAACAGCTACAGTACACACAGGTTGTTCTTGCTGAAGAATCAAGAAGGACAGTGGCAGTAGCTTATAGTTTTTGGGACAGCGCTTAATAATTTGGTTTTTGGTGACAAAAATAACTAAATAAATATTACACATACATATATATATATAGTTCAAAAATTTGGGGTTGGTAAGTTTTATTTTGTATATTTACAGTATATTTGTATTTCATTTTACAGTTTTACAATTTAAAATGTTTACCATTTTAAAATGTAACTTTATATATATATTAGTGATGCGCGGATGGCGGTTATATCCGCGTTATTTGAAGCTGCGGATTCGGGTGACGTTTTAGCTCATCCGCGCATCACTAATATATATATATATATATACACACACACATTTTAAATTGTAATTTATTCCTGTGAATTTTTAAAAGCCATTAATCCAGTATATAGTATAACATAAAAATTCATTTTAATATGATGATTTGATGTTCAATAAATATTTCTTATTATTATTAATGTTGAAAACAGTTGTGCTGCTTCATATTTGAGGAAACGTTAATGCTTTTTCCCAGGATTTGATGATGAATATAATGTTCAAAAGAACAGCATTTATTTGAAAGTTTTTTTTGTTTGTTTTTTTTTACTGTCACATTTGATCAGTTGCGTCTTTGCTGAATAAAAGTATTCATTTCTTACTGACCCTAAATTTTTGAATGGAAGTGTTTTTAAAAGAAAAAAATCAATATGAATTATTAATTTTAACTTTTAAAAATATAAATATAAAAATTAAAATTGATATATTTGTGTTGGAACCAGTGAAAACAAACCCATTATAGAAGCAAAATGTGTTGCAAAATGCTGTTTCATGTTGAAATCAAATTATATTACTGAAGCAAAAGAATCAAAGGGAACGTTGTTATCGGTCTTCTAGATTACTCAATAAAAGAGTCAGACCTATGAAAACAAACCTTGTCTCTGTTGTTTCTGGTCTGCTGTTCTAGCTTTCATTCCCTTATCAGACCCATTGCAAAAGTGAGTCTGGGTAATTAGCTAGCAGACCTGAAATCTGATCTGGATGAGGAAGTCCTTGGCAAAACTCATTCACGTCAGCATGCAAAACTGAAAAACTACAGCTGCCGGACTGTTGATGCTTTATCTCCTCAAGCCTTGGAGAGATTGTGATAAAGAAAGAGCAAGAAAGAGGTGGTGATATACTAAGAGTCCGTTGTAGGGTGAATTCCAAGAGCACATTACACTTCCTCTTGCTGCTCTATAAGCATTTCTGGAGGCTATTACTCCTCTCTTAACCTCCAAGCCTAGGAAACCCGTTCCCCAAATAGCTCTTGATAGACAAGCAGTGACACTAGGGGCCTAATGACAGGGCAGATAAGCTGCCACTCTGTGGCCACGGTGCCATTACCTGGCTGGGCATCTGGATTGATGGAACAAACCTGAAATCTCATACTGAGAAAACAGTATGTCTCTCTCTCCCCATTAACAACTAATTTCCCTACGGATCCAAATTGAGTTTGGGTGTTTAATATTCAGAGACTTCGGTACCCTCCGCTTGTTGTTGTCTCACATTATTCATCATTTAAGTGCCGAATATTAGATTGTGTTACTCATCTTCAGTTTATAAGCAGCCGATGAGGGAAAGCGATAAATCTCGGATGTGCAGACCTCTATTCACGATTTATTACAGACAAGAAAAAAGTAAGCGAGTGAGCGAGTAGAAGAAGTTTGCAATAAAATTCTCTCTGCATTTAGGCTAATTTTGTTGTGGAAATTCCCTGAGGTACCAAAAGGACGATAGCAAGAGATGCAACCGAGCAAATAAAAGCAAAATCTAGTTTAGGGACTAAAAATGTGCGCAGCCGTGCACACACTTTCCCTCTCCATCACTCTGCATTATGGGAATTTTTTTTTTTTTTTTTGCTGGCACTTTGAAACATTTGATAAATGGCTGGCCATCTAAATCCCACAATGCAATGAAGGTCAACAATTCTCCAGGACGCACAGTGTGAGGAACAGGTCTGCAGTGCTTATTATGAGTAGGCTACATGACAGAAGAGCTCTGAAAGTATGAAAGTGTCAAACATTGTACCTCTTCTGTCCAAACCTCCAGATCTGATGTAGTAAAGTTACTCCCATTGGTGGAAGGTGCCCTTCTTTCCATCTTCTTTCAGGCTGACAGTATATCATGTAATTAAATAAATAAATATATACTGTATGTTAGGCAAGGAAAAAAACATTTGCACTTAATAAACAAACTGTTCTGCCTTCGCTTTCGTATTCTATGAGTTATTTACAGTAAGTGTGAACCCCAGAAAAATGCTTGATTACACAATCACCATGGGTAACAATCAGTGTTTGCAATATGTGACTGTGTTTGGAAAAAGTCTGCATCAGATCTGAGCAGGATGCAGAGTATCAACTGCCTCCGATACTTTCAAACTTGCTGGATGTTGTCTGAGGGCCAATAAGGCCATTAACTCAATCAAAGAAGCTGTTAACACCCACCCAGCCATTACACCAACTCCTTATGATTACGTAAATGAAGAAAATATGCTGAAAAATTGGCTAGTGGGACGCCTGCATAAAGTGAGTGACACTGCAAACCAAACTTTTATCAACACAGCTAGGCATTACAGCTATGAATGAGCCTATACTGCAAGCGATAAACGTGCAATATGAAATTGAATTCAAACAAAATAGCAACAGGTGTTAACAATATGCGCATGGACAAACAAATGATTGCAGAGTAATTGAGAGATTAAATCTTTTTTTTTTTTATCTCACGTCTCCCACTCTTCCCATATCTTCATCTCTCTTTCTCAATTAGGTGAGTTTTAGAGATTCTATTAAAGCTCAGGCATAATAATCAAGAGAAGTGGGAGTGGGAGGGAGTAATATGAGAGCAGCTAATCTGTTTGTGATTAGTGAACTAATTTAAAACATCTTGAGCCATCACTCTCCCAAACGGAAGAAAATAACAGTCGCTGTAACTTATTTGAAACACCTTCATCTAAAGCAGCAACACAGTTATAAATACTAGGAGATTAACAGAGTCCATTAATTCTAGCAACACCAATACTAGCTTAAGAGGTGCAGTTACAGTAGCAGAATTTTGGCAAAAAAAAATTTCATTTTTTTTATTTTCAATAGTGTAGCTATGTTTCTAGGCATAGGCGAACTAGGCAGTTTCCTAGAGGGGGTGCCAGTGAGCACCTCAAAACCATTATAAATGCATGACAAAAATCCACCACTGGTTAAGTACATTCAAGCAGCTACTACGATTAAAAAAAAAAAAGTCCAGAAAACACAGTAAAGTGTTCCATTCATGTATGAAAATAAAATGTCATATACCAACATCTATTGTGAAATATTTTAAATAATGTGAAATATTTTAAATAATCATATCATTATCCTAATCAAAAGCATAAATCGTCATTTTAGATGTACTGTATTAGGTCTTTTCAATTAAATTTAATTTAAAAAGCCATTAATAAGGCATGAATGTGATAGTTTTGTTTTCGTTAATTTAATTTACTTGAAAAAAAATTGGCTACTGTTTCTTTATTGAAACTGGAAAAAAATATTGCTGTTCTATAAAAGAAGAAATAATACTTTTGTATTAACTAATTTAGATACACTGAACCACCACGCGTTAGTGCCATTAATATGACAACCAGCATGAACGTGCGACTGCAACAGAAGCACAGAACTAGATACATACAGTATGTTGGTGAACAATTTCAATGCTTATTAAGAGACAACATGTTTATATAATTTGTAAACAGTATCAAATCAATCTTTAGAAATGTCATTTAAGTTTTGAGTGTTTAAGTTGTAAAGTTGGGAAGGGGGGCGTCAATAGGGATCTCGCCCAGGACTCCAAAAGTGTCAGAAACGGTCAGAAGTCACTTTCAAACAAGCAGCTTTCTTTTGGCCAGTGCTGTGAATCTGCATGGGGAAATCTTTCGCCCTCAAAAAAAAAATTCCCAATAATGTGGATTCCTATTGAAATAACTGGATTTCACCCAAAAAAAATTCAAAAACACAAGACAATTTAAAAGTGACTCTTGCTCAACTGACTTAAATAGAAAGAAAGAAAGAAAAAAGGAAAGAAAGAAAGCCATACTGCATTTGTTAGTATGTAGATGTATAACAGTACATCAGTATTAGGTTGCACTTTAGTTTAAGATTTAACTTGAAAAAGAGAGCATTCAGAGATTGCCTTATGTCGCCTATGACTGGGTCAACCACTGTCTATGGTGAAGGATAATACTTAATGTAACAAACTTCAATGATTTAAATGACTGGGAAGGGAAGATTCAGAGTCAAAATGATCTCAGATATCAAGAACTGCATCCGCTGTTTTTAGCAAATATGAGGAGAGAGCACATAAATGCACAATTTTAGGGGACAGCTTAATTGCAGATTTCTATGGGGGTTGAAATGAAAGACGGGCTATGGTCTATTATCATACTATAGTGTATGCTGGGGAGAACTTGGAAATATAGGCTTGTGTGGTTTTAACAATCACTTTAGGCATAATGGCTTATTCTGCTGCCCACATTCATTCATAGGCCAGATAAACTATGACAATCTAGCTAGTGGGCCGACTTTGATGAGTCATTCTGACAACATTTCACTTGCACACCTACATAATGGCAACAAATATTGAACGCTGGGTTGTAACCGCCTTAGACACGTCCACCCTCGATATTCAAATTAGTGGTCAGCTGATGGGGTTTGCAACGGTTTATTGTCAAATTATTGCACAATAATGTGGTTACATCTTTGATTGAATGTGATGACAAATACTGCTAAAACTGAACTGGTTTGTAACGATGATGAGCGAGGAGAACAATATGCCTACACAAAGAAAATATCCAGAATTTTAGCAAACTGTTAAAACCACTCAGCAGAGGCTCTGTGGCAAAAGGAAAAGAGAGAGCGTCATTCAGACTTTTTGATGGTAATTACATGCCAGCACAGAAGGCAGCCAGACACACACATTTGTATGATTTAATGATTTAGACATGATGATGGCATGGCTCATTTTTATTTTATTATCTGCTGGTGCACAGATAGAGTAATTAAATGATGGTAAACATTGGATTTGACGAAAAGGAGTCATTGGCAGAGAAAAGGAAATATCACTTTCTTGCTTTGACACACTAGACACACGACTGCAGTCACCCACAGAAGATGCATTCCATCGCTGTGGTAACTCGGGTCTGTGGCCTCTCATAGGATCCTTATGAAGCAATCTGATTTGAGAATAGTATGCCGTGTGCCAAGATGGAGAGTCTGCGATGATTTATTGTGATGCTGCTTCTGAGAGATTTCATCATGACATTTAGACTCTCTAGATGACAAAAAAATTAATTAATAAATAATTAAATAATAATAATCTCTTGCACTTGCAACTTTTTTCTTGCACAGAAACTCAATGGCTTTGAGATTACTTTACCTTAAAAGACTTAAGACTACTGCCTCATATTTCTGTTTGTATATCTTAAAAATGATAACATTAACTGTGATAATCATGGCATATTTGATATAATTTGTTTACTGCCACCTATGGTGTCTACGTTTACATTTATACATTTAGCAGATATTTTGTTTGATTTTGTCTTTAAAAAAAAGTTTAACAGTGGATATACATTGCCATTCAGTTTTTTTGTTTTTTTTTATGAAAAAGTCTATTATGCTACCAAGGCTGCATTTATTTGATCAATAATTCAATAGAAACAGTAATATTGTGAAATACTATTACAATTTAAAATACCAGTTTTCTATTACAATATATTTTAAAATATAATTTATTCCTGTGATGGTAAAGCTGAATTTACTTTTTTCTTAATTTCTTTTTCCAATGAAAAACCAATTAAAAATATCCAGCACATTTTCAAATTACCATTCATTTTGTGGTGTAAAAATTTTAAAGTAATTTTAGAATAAAAAAAGCCCATTTCTACATTTATGTATCCTAAATACACACACAAATAATATTTTTTACTAAACATTTAGGCAAAATTACAGCTTGATTTGAAATTATATACAATAAAAAAAATTCTGTTCCAAAGTGATATTTCCATACATTTTTAAGTATGTTTTTAACTTTTTGTAAGTTTTGATAATACTTCCTAAAACTGTTATGGTGGAACTAAAGAACTGTAAAAAACACCCTTTTAAAAAAATTATATGATCAGTAAGTCATGGCAACATGTGTGTTTACATTACTTTAACTCATCAAAATAAGTTGAGCAAATTTTACTTTTTAATAATTATATTAAATTCAACTTCATTATACATATATAGCCGGTTTAATGTCATTTAAGTTGAAATGACTGAACTACGTTTTTAAGTTGAAATAATTTTTTACAGTGCAAATACTGAAATTCTCATATACCAGTTTAATCTTTTTTTAGATTATCAAAAAATGTCAAATGTCAAAATTTTCTGGAATAAGGGTAAGACCAAATACATAAAGGATATTTGAAAACTAGCAAAAATACATGATAAAGGCATGTTTAAAAGAAAGGTATTTAGTTAAAAAAAAGACATTTATTTATTTATTGTGCAGTATATATATATATATATATATGGGTCTCGTCAATTTAAAAAGAAAAAATAGGGTTCCTCTTAAAAAAGTTTGAAAACCACTGACCTATGTTATGGTATGCTCTTAGTAAAATACTATAGCTATGGTTTCTATGTAAGAACTGATGTACTGATGTAACATCAATACTGTGCATATTACAAAATGAATAGGTCAAACAACAAGCTAAAAAAAACAGCCTGGTTGCAGCAGATGTAGACTAATTTGAATGCATTTCTTGATCCAAGGCTTTAAATCTAAGCCTATAAAAGCAAATCTGTGATTCAAAGCCTCAAACTAGCCAAGAATCTGATAGGGCATTAATTTCTAATCACTGATTTCTAAGAGTCTCTCTGCTTACTGTTATGATAATATAGCCAGCAGATACGGTCACAGCCGTAACATGTTCCAAATTGTATTTCTGGACTGACTCGGCTCATCCATTGCCATATACATCTGAGCAGCGCTGTCATCCACTAGACGCGTACACACACACACACACACACACACACTGCAGAAGAATGACCACAGATGGCATCTAAATCTTGTGCATCAGTGTGAAGGGAAAACTCATGTCACAGAAGGATAGGAGCCAGCGAATGCCAGTGTTCAAACCTGCAGCACACATACGCGCTCCTGCCTCCCACGCACTCTTCAAAAACAGCTATATCTAATTATTCTTATTGAAACCCTCCATCTCAGTCACGGATGCCACAGTTTGCTGGGCGAGTTAGTTTGGATGGATGGTGCTCGGTCACAGCTGTGTCTCAGTTTTGTGTGTTGAGCCCTGAGGTTCTGTAAGACATCTTGAACTGTTCAGCTTTAATGAAGAGCAAACTGGGGCATTAAGATGTAAACATCATGCACACTCTACACAAAGGGCCAAGTGATAACTGACAAGTATTTCTGCTACTTTAACAGACGCTTGCAGTGTCATCATTCACCATACTGATGGTGCTTTTATGTGGATGATAATAAAACAATAAATCTTTTTTACAGTATAGTCTGGCTGTCACTATGGGGAATAAGGACTGACCCAGAGCACAGAATAAGCTCCCCCTGGTGGCCTTGCTATGACCTCTTACAGTAGCAAAATTAGCATACTGACAGCAGCTGGAAAATGTAAATAGCAAAACAAATTAAGAAAAAAAAAAGAAATTAGCCAAAAGTCTATATGAGTTATATTCTAGTGTCAAATGATCCTCTCTAATAGGTATCTCACAATTCAGACCTTTTTTTCTTCACAATTGTGACTTTATATCTCAAAATTCTGACTTTTCTGAAGTTTATATCTCACATTTTTCCTTTTTTTCTTGGAATCTCACAATTCTGTTTTTTGTTTTGTTTTTTCCACCATGAAAATAAAATTAGATTTTTTTTGAATGGGAAAAATGTGAAAAAAAAAAGTTAATTGTGAATTTTTATCTCACAACTCTGACTATTTCCCCCGGTAATTGCAAGTTTATACTTCCCATTTTTGCCCAATTCTACTTGAATTTTTCCACTGAATTCAGAGTTTACATCTCGCAATTCTATTTTTTGTTTCCACCATGAAATGGTGGATTGTGATTTTCATCTCACAATTCTGACCCATATACTGGTAATTGTGAGTTTAAATTTGCAATTTTAAACTCTTTTTATCAGAATTCTAAGTTTACATCTCACAATGCAACTTTTTTATCGCTTAATTCCAACTTTTTTCCTTGCAACTGCAAGTTTATATCTCTTTATATCAAATCAATTCTTAATTCAGCAATTCTGAATTCCCAATTGTGAGATATAAACTCAGTTGTGACCGTTTTTAAAGCTCTGCTTGACTTGAAAGGTCCACTTGAAGCTTTTTTTGCGTGTTTTTGTAATGGCTTGTTCAATAACAACCAAAGATACCTGGTGCCTTTATATTTTTGTTTTAGAAGGTCTTGCTTGTATGTTTATTTCTTTTATTGCACTTTTTTATTCTTGTAAAAGTGCCTCAAGGATTATCTCCACATTTAAAATGCAAAGCACCAGCAAAATTTGACAAGGGGAGGACAGCAGCAAATTTTGACAAGATTGTGTTCTGGCAGCAAAGACGAACAAATGCTAAAGGCTGTAAGCACACTTCAGCCCCTCTGCAGCTCTTCGGTTCAGGTTATCAGTCTCTGGACCTTGCAGGCATGTGACAAAACGCTATACAGGATTATGCAGTCTACCGTAAACACGTTTGCTCAATCTCTACACTGGCTCAGAGCAAACAGGCAGCATAATATAATTTTTCCCAATTCTACTAACATGGAAGAGGCTCTTTGGGGATTTACTAAATAGCATTATCAGATAATGTAAAAAAAAAAAACCTTCCATCGAAAATCTCATTAAAAGTTAGCGTGTAAAAATTTCAGGAAAATGTTCTATTCATCAGCGAATCCAGGGAAACAAATTAATCATGGTTTGCAAGGGAAAAAAAATGTAAGTGTAAGCAGCACAACTGTTTTCTAAGTTGATAATAATAAGAAATGTTTCTTGAGCACCAAATCAGCATATTAGAATGATTTCTGAAGGATCATGTGACACTAAAGACTGGAGTAATGGCTTCTGAAAATTCTGCTTTGCCATCACAGGAATAAATTACATTTTACATTATATTAAAATAGAAAACAGTTACTTTAAATTGTAATAATATTTTACAATATTGCTGTTTTTATTGTATTTTTAATCAAAAATACATAAGAGACTTCTTTCAAAAACATTAAAGCGGTAACAGTTCACAATAACAGTACATGAATGATTCATGTACTAATAACTAAAATATTACTTTAATATGAGCAAATGATGAGTTAAGGCATAACATTCACACCAAATGTGCACAATAGGTCTGGGCGGTATGACAGCATAGCATGTGATAGTAGCAATGTGTCAGCTAGTAGAGATTCTGCTGTACTGTTTATACCTCAGTGAAGCTAAAACTGTAGTCTACACTTCTAACTGTTGTACATGCGGGTTTTTAGTATTAATTATAACTGGAGCTAGAAATGTCGATTTTTCAGGAATTTTCATAACTAATTATGATCTAGAAATTAACAATCAATGAATCAAATAAGTGTTAATGTTAATATCACTAAATGTTTAAGAATCTAAATCTTGTGTTCTTTTAATTTTAATTAAAAGTTATACAATACTGCTAAAAAATATGGGGTCAGTAAGATATTTTTTTCTCACTAAAGACTGGAGTAATGGCTTCTGAAAATTCTGCTTTGCCATCACAGGAATAAATTACATTTTACATTATATTAAAATAGAAAACAGTTACTTTAAATTGTAATAATATTTTACAATATTGCTGTTTTTATTGTATTTTTAATCAAAAATACATAAGAGACTTCTTTCAAAAACATTAAAGCGGTAACAGTTCACAATAACAGTACATGAATGATTCATGTACTAATAACTAAAATATTACTTTAATATGAGCAAATGATGAGTTAAGGCATGTACTAATATAAAGAACTAACCTTACATGAATCATATGAATTGATGTGTGAAAATGTACCCACAATTGTTAACCCTTTAATTACATTAAAGGGTTAGTTCACCCAAAAATGAAAATTAGGCTGCGTTATGACAGACCATCACATTCAACTCAACGTGGCTAAGACAGAACTGCTTGTGGTTTCAACAAACCCATCACTTTATCAAATTTTCACCATCCAGTTAGGCTCATCAATCATAACTCCTTCAAAAACTTGAGAGTTGTGATTGATGATAAGCACAATTTCTCAGACCACATT